GTGTTGAAACCTTTGGCGTTGCGGTTTTGCTCCTTAAGTCTGAACACTCCAGACTTCGGGCTTCCAAACCTTGGAGTCGATATGACTGCTTTCTCGGGCGCCACCTCACGCTGTAGGCTTGCGACGGGCTTACTTTCAGCTATTAGCACCGCGTCTTGCGCAGAAATAATGCGGGCGGCTTGCGGATACGTTCTCCAGTGCTCAGCGGTCCCGTTTGACACGAACCCACTCCAATTGTTGATGGCTTGGAGGAACATCATTCATTTGCTGATTGAGGCTTGTTTGCCCGTTTGCTTCTTACAGATCCGCATATGGTATACGGACCCCGTCAACAGAACTCCGATGGCCTTGCTGGAACTGCTTCGCGCGGCCGTCTGGCGCTGCTCGTCTGGCGAGCTCTCTAGAGAGTATCACGCACGCCTTGACGGCGATTTGACCTGCTCGAGCCGGTAGGACTTTCACCTGACGGCAACTTCGGCGTCGAATGCGGGTAGAGGTCGTCCGTTGTGGCTTCAACCTTCTTCGCCAAGAACCAACGGACCTTTTCTCCTGGAGGAGAACTCTGAAGCTTTTGTGACTTGCGGGGAGGACAGGAGTAGATCCAGACGAGGACACGTACTCCTCTTGTACTTCTGTGTTGCGTCGAACTCATACTCGACCATCCTCACGACCGGGATCGAGATCCGGCGGCTGGCGACGCTCCGATCTCAAGCAGTGAGAATCGGTGGCTCCCACTGTGGTCGCGACAGATTGTTCGCGGAGAAAGTCGGTGTTTTCTTGCATTATCGATTCCATTGCACTCAGTTAAACAAACGTTTATGTGCGTTACCAAAGAGATACGGCTCTTTTATAAGATCCGGCTTACAATAAAAATCAAAATAAAACAAAGAATGCAAAATTACAACTTCTCTCTTTTACGCGAACAAATCAGCAAGATCCTGTTATCCTGGTCTCATTGCTTCTGGTGGGTTGTTTGCCTGCGCCGGGGTTGCTTACCGTGGACCACCAGCCAGCTGATCTGGATCGCAAGTAGATCATACGACGTATTACGGTAATTATCCCACCAAGGAGATAATAGCCGGAGCGAATCGTTTCACCAAGGCGAAACGAACTTCCGGCTCGAAATCCCGGGATCTAAGAACAAGCTTTAGATCCGGCAGTGTGACGAACGTAGATCTGGAGGATTAGACTCCATCTCGAAGCTCCTGCCCTTTTTCGGTGCGGTGTGCGTCCCGCTAAGAACAAATACCGGGTCTCCAAGTTCCTTCAAGCCTTTCAGATCTCGAGTGAGGCTGAACCATCCCGGCAGAGTTTCGGATCCTCTCCAAAGTCTTCAGAAGAAGTCCTCCACAACATGAAGCGAGTAGCAGGCCTATTTAATAGGCTCTCAGAACTGTGCGTTTGCACAGTTCTGAGCCTATCCACCCCTTAGGTGCTCGGCGCATAGCCGAGCCACCCAGGGGTAGGCTCCGCGCCTTGGCCAAGCCACCTCAGGGTGGCTCGCGCCATTGGCCGAGCCACTCCTGGTGGCTCGGCTTTGCCGAGGCCACCTCAGGGTGTGCTCGGACCCGTTGGCCTGAGCCACCCCTGAGGTGGCTTCGGCCTTGGCCGAGCCACCCTAGGGTGGCTTCCGGCGTTTGGCCGAAGCCACGCCTGGGCGTGGCTACGCCACCGAGACCACCCATAAGTGGTGGCTCGCGCCTTGGGCCGAGCCACCTAGGCGTGGTTCGGTTCGCGGCCCGAGTGTCACCCAGGTGCGCTGGTTTTGTCGTTTTCCGTTGTTTCGCGGTTTTCTTGCCGATTGTTTCCGGGTTGTCTTTGTTGATTCGTTGACTGATTCCGGATTTGTGCAGTAAATCAGTCGCGTGTTTGAGTCAAAAATTTCCCCCACTGTTTGTTGGAAGACCCGTCGACTCCGCCGAACACTAAACGTGTTGTTCCACATGCAGTTTTCGTTAGGCTTTGTAGCCTCTTATAGTTTCGTTTCGTCTTCCTAGACGTTCGTCGATTCGATTTGTCGAATCATCGCGCCGAGCTGTGTCAAGGGACCTATAAGCAGTTTTATACGCCTACACATGGATCTCCTCATTTCTTTATCTTCATCTTTACCACTTTACAAAGATCCTTTTGGTTGAATGTTCATGTTTTCTCTCTATGCACTATACCTTGTTCCAACTTACTTTAGAGCATCATAAAGGTCGTATGTATATGTGTGTGTGTGTGTGTGTGTGTGTGTGTGTATATTCTTTTATGTTGTGTATGGTTATTACGAACAGGATTTCGTTGAACATAATTAATGGCATGCTATAGTTGATGCTCAAGTTGACTTCCTTATCTTTTAAGCATTTATTTCTTCTCTTTCTTCAGGAGTTTCTGGCGAAAAATGGGGATAGAGTCCAACTGATTGCAATGCTGGGTTTATTTGGAGCTATCATCAGTGCTGTTCAAATGTATCCTTGGCCTTAAACTATGAAAGTTATTACTATTTTTTTCAGTTTATATGTATGTAGTAGGTATAGTACCTAGTTAACCTTTTTGTATGTTTCTTTATTCATGTAATCTGCACACATTGAGGTATGCTGAAGTTATTATTTTCCACCAAGAAGATACTGCATTTTTTATTTAGTTTTCTGTTTCTTTTCTTCCCCCAACATACTTCCATACCTCCTACGTGATCTTCCTCCATTTTCTGAATGCTTGTCCAATTTGATTTTTATTTTATAAAAGAGCACTATTTCAAAGTTTTGTGCTTTTTTCAGGATAAGACTTTTATGCTTTATAAACCTACAAATTCTGTAGTATTAGATATTTGAGTGCAAATTTCAATTTATATATAGAAGGATATAAACGCAAGAAAGAATACTAAAAATTGTACTCTACTGCAAATTTGGTCAGAATGTTACCATGTGAAAAGACCACTACAGCTTTCTCTGCAGATTTAGTTTTAATGCAAATGGAATTTCCATCTCAAATTTGATTCTTCTTAAGACTATTATTTCGTAAAACATCTCATCTGAATTGGAATGAAAAACTTGCTTTGAAGAGTGAGGATAAAAGATATTTCTTCCCTTTAATTGTAAAGTAGTTTACTTTGTGTTTTAGTCTTATGAATTATTGATTTTCTTCTTTTATGCTCTCTGCTAATTTCATGTGATAACTGCCTATATACTTTTAGGATGGACATTTAAAAACTTTGTTCCTTTGTATTGTCCGTGAAACCAGATATTTGATGTAAAAAAATCCAATATTTTCTTTTTGCCTTCTATATGTTCCATTTGGTCCATACTAGTGAAGAAGTATTCTTGTCCAGTAGTGAGTTTCCTTAATTATAGTACAGAAGCATACTTGAGCGCAAAGAGCTAAAATCTATTACGTGGACAGCTGGTGCAGTAAGTTTCTTTCATATCTCTCAATCAGATGCTCACACATTGTTGTGCACACATTTTTGTTCTGAAAATTTTAGCCTCATTGAAGCATTGATATTCATTTGTGGGAAAAAAATGAGAAATTGATAGAAATAAAATAAACCTTTTTTGTTAATTAGATGATTAGGTTTCCTAGAGAACCTGAATATCCCTCACATTCCCAAGGCTGATGGTGGATTTCCAACACAGGACTTCTTACTTGGGAGAGTAATGCCTCGGTTAATGCCTACTTGTTCTATTGCTGCTTCAAAACAACTATCAGGAACTTATTTCATGAATAATGATGAATAAAACAATAAAGCATTCCGAAGTTACACAGAGCTTAAACTCATGCTGTTTGTGTTTGTAAAAGTTGCTTTGCTAATAGTCTATAGTTTACTCTTTTAAAGCAATATTTATAGTCAAATTCTTCATTCTTGGTGATATTTAATATTGGTTTCGTTTTTTTTTATTGGCTAGTCTCTCCTGTTTTACTCTTTTAACGTATGGAAAAGTTAGTTCAACTCCTGCTGATGGGGTTTCTTCATTTTAATTGGTTGTTGGAAGATATTTTGCTAAATAGTTTGAAATGCAGTCTGTAGGCTTAATCAACATGACACAATCACATCATCATTGGCTTCTGTATCTTTTTAGTCTGCAAAACGCATATAGTCATCATGTACATATAAATGCTTGCAAGTAAATACCGATTACTCTCAGATGTTCCTGAGTCATTAAGTTATTTGCATAATTAAGTGGATATTGAAATATGCTGACAATGTCTGTTGAAAGAGTGATACTGGAATTTTACTTTGTACTGTTTTGAAGCCTATATGTTGGCATCAAAAGATTAACCATGTGTGCTAGCCATATGCTAACGAGTATGAATCTCATCAAGAGCGGACACTTCTTATTAAGGTCATATTGAGACTCAATCATGTTTGTGATTTATCCAAAAAAGTTTCTGGGCACATTCAATACAGAGTCTTACATTGCATAAAATTTAGCAATTGTTTTAGTAATAATACTACTTATAATTCCTTTTCATAGGCAATCTTCTAGATGTAATCTCTGTTAACTTGAGTCTACTTATACTGTCACTTTCCATTTATATTTGTAAACCTAATATATTTATACTCGCCCATTGATTAGAGTGAATCTGATGGTGGTATTTGATGATGTTTTTGTGGGTGGAAAGAATTTTTTATTGCAAAACTTCTGAAAAATGTGAAACCATTTTCTTCCACACAAATAAATTGTTTATTTTCTGGCCAGTAAAATACATGCATCTATGCACACAATTCTAAATTTTTTTGCTGAATCTTTCGGTGCATTGAGCATCGGCAATACTCACACTCATGACATGTAATTCCAGATTTTGCCCTTCGTTGGATTTTCATTGGGCATGTTTCTCTTTTACTCTGTTGTCCCAATATTACTAAAGGTAAGCAAATTTGATATCTTACAATGAACATTTCCTTCTATATAGATTTTGATGTAGGTTTAGCTTTAAGGTGTTGTTAATTAGTCTAAAATTCCATCTTCTCAATTGCACAGCTCAGTGGTTCGACAATGCTTAACCTTTCACTGCTTACCTCAGATATGTGGGCTGTTCTCATCCGCATCTTTGCATATCACGAAAAGGTTATCATCTGTTTATGCTCTTACTTAAACCATAGTTTCATGAGCTAATCAAATTGGAGCTATTACAGGTCGATTGGATGTACTTCCTAGCTTTTATCGCCGTTGCAGTTGGGCTTGTAGTATATTCATGGTGCACATCACTATCTATCATTTAACCATTACTCATTAGTTTTCAGGTTTTCTGTATATATCAGGATTGTTGTATATATAACCTTTAAATCAACAACTACCCCTCAAATCAACAAATCATCAACTTTGTTGGATATGATACATAAATATTTTACTATTTGGTTGACATTTTTACATTGCAGTTGCAAATAACCATAAGTTGATGATTTGTTTATTTCGGATAATGATTTGGGGGTAATTTTCCAAAAACTTAGATTTGGGGATAGTTTTGCAAATATGCATGATTTCTGGGGTAAATACGAAAGACTCAACTTTTATCCACAACTTCAAAACCCTGAACACCCATTGACTCTAAAAATGTAGGGGTGAGAAAGACGATGAGACAATAGGCCAGGTCGCTAATGAGACTGAAGAACAAGCAAAGAACAAGGACGAAGAGGCTGCCGCTGAGTCATCAGGGAACTTAAATGCTGGAGATGGTAAAAATAACTCTAATCACACTGTTATGCCAGTATAAGGCTAATCTCAGCATTCTTTCTGAGATTGCTAAAAAAATTTGAGCTCAAGGCAGGAAAAGACTTGATAGTGGAATTCTATTTGTTTTAGTAGGGAGAGGTCCTTACTTTCCTCTTGCCTCCGAGGAGCATTAGCCGACAGAGGCATCTGACATACCATGAAAATGCATTGTGAAGAAATCTTTGCAGAGGAAAAATGATTATTTTAGTTGGATTGGACAGCATGGGATTGGTTTTAGTATTCATTCAAGTGCAGCTTTTACCAAGTATGTTGGTATATTTATAGAGGAGCTGCAATTTATACAAGTCAATAAAATTTCTATTCTTGTACGAAATTGTTCTTTATGTCTTATTTCTGGTTCTATTTGATCAATTGACATGTAATATTATTTGCTCCATGATTCAAGATGTAAATAATTGAAGGTACTTGCATCTATATCTTACATGAGATCCGGATCCCCTTGAGGGGAGCCACTTTCAACACGGAGACTCATGGCCAAACCGATGATGTCTCCAAGCTTATGAGATATCAGAATCCCTTGCAAATTCTGTTTGCTGTTTGAGTTTAAATGCCATAACAACAAGGCAACACCTGATGTCTGAGGTGTGCCGAAGGGAAAGTATCCAATGAACGCAGCCAGAAATCATTTCACTTGGTTTACTTTCTGTGCCTTTGTGCTCTTACCCGAAGAGCTCGAAGTCTCGGGTGTTGTACTTCAAGTGCTACATAGTTTGGAATCACTTCATGAGTTTGTTTTGAACATGACCAAGCTTTCTCACTCATTACTAGAAAAGAAAAACACTCTCACACTCGAAAATATGACCAAATTGTAGAACTCGTGATTTGTATATATATGCTATTTTTTAATAGAAAAGTCTACAAATGACCTAGCGCTTTAATTATATTCATATGCATATTTTACCCCCCAAGTAGTTCTACATGGTAGGATTCATATACCCAATTCAAAAGGTTCTAAAATCTTTCGGTTTTGTTTTCTAAGCAAAACCATCATCTGAAAATTTCCAACAAAATGCTAGAGAAACAAATTACTACATGCTTTGAAAATAATCTCCTCACTCACTAAAATCGTAAAACAAACTCCAAGCTCCGGAGCAGAATTTGCGGTTCACATTGAATTTTTCAAAAGTTCAAAAAGGTCTTGTGAAGGGGGCTACTCAGTAGGTCATATGGTAAAGCCATGTTGCTCTCTTGTAGTGAGCGTTGGTTCGACTCCCATGTGCTCTAAAGGAGCAATAAAAAAAAGAGCCTTGTGAAACTACCTAAAAGTTTAGGGGGGTTTTATTTAATGTTTAAAGTTCACGGTAATTTTGCATAGATCAACCAAAAGAAAAAAAAATTAAATAATAATAAAGAGCAAATTGCCTTCCATTCGATTATGGATCCTCCAGGATCCCATCCAGACGCAACCCGCTAAAAATTTCCCACTTTTTATCCTTCTGCTTTCTCTTTTCTACCGAGGAGTCGAGAACAATTTGCACCTGAGAAGTAATTCAAGGTACATCTCCCTCTACTTTATGTGTGTTTTTTTTATTTTATAGTCCATAACAAATTACTCCATTTTGTTTGATTTAGACGAAAAGAAATTAACCCTTCTAAAAAGTTAGTTGGGTTTGTTTACTTTTTAGGAAAAATGTGTCCAAGCCCCAAAAGCGGAAACTTCATGTGAAGAGACCCCTTGTATTCTGCCCCATGTAGATAAGCCCTAAATACACACAATATTTGTGACGGGGACCCAAAGTATCGATTTTTTAAAAAAAACTAGTGGAAGTTACGAACTTGCCCCTTTGATGGGACTGAACTTGGTTACTGCGCCCCCTCCCTATTCAAGTACTCTCTCTATCTCTCTCTCTCCCACACTTAGGAGCCACCGAAACTCTTAAATTTTTAATTTTCTCATCGGATTTCAACAGTGCTAGGTTTTTCGCCGGAAAAATATCGTCCAGGAAAGAAAAATCCGTTAACGACTACGAAGTCGTTCATCGCAGCAAGCTGAAGGACAAAGACGGTTCATCTGAGGTTGGCAACGCAAAGGAAGCCACTCAAACCCTTATGGAAATGCAAAGGCAGATAGTAGAATGACGAGACCAGAAAAGAAGAACGACAAGGGCTGACAGTAGTTGGGGGTTTTGGGGTTTTTGGATGTTTTTGGTTTTAATTTATTGGTCTGTATGTAAAAATTGTGGGTGATGTTTGGATGGGAAAATGTGGAAAATTTAGGACGTATTAAATTGACGTTGGTTCTAACAATTATTCCTAGGTGCGTAAATTCCTCGATCAAAAATCCTATGTATAATATTATTATATTTAAAAAAGAAGAAATTATTTTCGTCTTAGTTCTAATGGATATCATGTTAGTTCTAATATCTGTATTAGTTCTAGTAGATTTCGTGTTAGTTCTAATGGATATCATATTAGTTCTAACATGTCGTGGGTTAGAACTAACATAAGAGCCCAATAGCCTAGAACTAACATAATTTAGAACTAGAACGAACAAGCGGTGAGTTAGAACTAACATGTCGTGGGTTAGAACTAGCATACTGTGGGTTAGAACTAACATAAGAGCCCAAGAGCCTAGAACTAACATGAATTAGAACTAAAACTAACAAGCGGTGAGTTAGAACTAACATGCCGTGGGTTAGAACTAACATAAGAGCCAAAGAGCCTAGAACTAACATGAATTAGAACTAGAACTAATGTGAGGTGAGTTAGAACTAACATGCCGTGGGTTAGAACTAACATGCCATGTGTTAGAACTAACATAAGAGCCCAAGAGCCTAGAACTAACATGAATTAGAACTAGAACTAACAAGCGGTGAGTTAGAACTAACATGCTGTGAGTTAGAACTAACATAAGAGCCAAAGAGCTTAGAACTAATATGAATTAGAACTAGAACTAACGTGTGGTGAGTTAGAAATAATATGTTGTGGGTTAGAACTAACATGTCATGAGTTAGAACTAACATAAGAGCCCAAGAGCCTAGAACTAACATGAATTAGAACTAGAACTAACAAGCGGTGAGTTAGAACTAACATGCCATGGGTTAGAACTAACATAAGAGCCCAAGATCCTAGAACTAACATGAATTAGAGCTAGAACTAACGTGCGGTAAGTTAGAACTAACATGCCGTGGGTTAGAACTAACATGCCGTGAGTTAGAACTAACATGTCGTGGGTTAGAACTAACATAAGAGCCAAAGAGCCTAGATAACATGAATTAAAACTAGAACTAACAAGCAGTGAGTTAGAACTAACATGTCGTTGTTAGAACTTACATAAGATCCCAAGAGCCTAGAACTAACATGAATTATAACTAGAACCAACGTGCAATGAGTTAAAACTAACATGCCGTGTGTTAGAACTAACATAAGAGCCCAAGAGGCCCAAGGCCCAAGTGTAGGTTGTCTAAAGTCAATGCAGATATCTTATCCCCATCAATCACAGATGATGGAAGTTATAATTTGACGGCTTTCAGAAGGTTACAATTTGAAGACTTTCACGTAGATCAATGAAGGTTACAATCTGATGCCCTTCACAACGACTGATGAAAGCTTTATTCAACAGCCTTCACAATCAACATCGGGAGTAACAATCTGACAACTTTCATATTTTTAAGGAGCCAAGATGAAGGTTACAAGGTGAAGATCTTTGCAACGCTCTAGCAAAAGAGACTACAAATTGACGGTGTCTTCAAATCAAAACACAGATATCTCTCAAACCTGAGGGAATTTGGCTAAACAGATAGTACAAACCCCCTTCGAAGATTTGGTTGGCTCCGTCTCGTCAAGATAGCTGATTTTTATATATAGTTCGTCCAATTTTGATTTACGGTTTAAAAGTTATGACCTGTTCTTCGCAACAAGTTATGTTCTGAAGTTCGTCCGCAAGACTGAACTTCGCCTGAACATTGGACTGAGCCTGAAGCTCGCCAAGCATGCTTGAGGCTCGCCTCTGCATTCTAGAGTCAAAACACAGAGTTTCAGATCCAAACACAGAGCTCACTATTGTGTTTTCAGCCCAAAACGCAGGGTTCATCACTGCGTTCTAGATCCAAACGTAGAGCTCACTGCTGCGTTTTCAGCCCAAAACGCACGGTTCGTCACTACGTTCCAGATCCAAACACAGCCTTCATTGTTGTGTTTTTAGCCCAAAATGTAGAACTGTAAAACCCCAAAAATTTAAATATTTTGTGATAAATAATAATAAATATGTTATATATTTATAAATAACATATTATGATGTTTGAGTATGCTAGGAATTGGTTTGAGATCAATTCAATGTATATATGTATATATATAAGAGCAAATGCACAATTCATGCTCGATGTATAAATCTGAAAATTTATGACTAGCAGAGAGATTTTATATTTTTCTCATATATGTAGCTGGAATTTGGAAAAACTTAAAACACAAAAATTGTAGGTATCTTCAAGAGCTTTCCAAAAAAATCTTAGATCACCTCATTTTGAGATCGGATGTGAAAGTTATGACTAAAATACCGATGGTCATTTTTCTAGTCAAATTAGGATTCCTGGTTCGGGTCAAACGGGTTTATTTCGGGTTTGCATTATATAAACATGTGTTTTCATGAAAATTAATATCCTTACATCAGAGTTTCAAACCCTAGCAGCCCCTCTTCCTCTCTCTGAATCCCTAGCCCTAAAGTTGAGAATTTTGAGAGCTTTGTGAAGCAAATATCGACACGAGGTCGAGATCATCAACGTGTAGCAAGGGGAAAACGGCTTGGTTGCACTTCTTTTTGGTTGCTGGTTATTTCAGAAGCTTAGAACGACGTCTAAGGTAAGATTATCTTCATCCAAACCCTTCCCCATAGTTAAATAACTAGTTAGATGTTTAATATGATGTTGAATATGTGTTTTCATGCTTGAATCTTAACATGATGTGATAAAAGTTAAATTTTTTATGTTAAAACATAAACCAATGCTAGATTAGTAATTTTTTTTCTTGCTGTTTATAATAGTATCATGATCATGATCATTAGGATTTTTCATAATTTTATTTATATATGAGAAATTTAAGAGATGTACTAAATAAATATTTTCTACAGAAAACTGTAGCAATTATATCATGTTTAACTGAGATTTAGAAATAGAAAATAAACTCCAAATTTAACCAAACTAGTGCCAAATGAAAGATATATGTATCTAGCTTCTAAAACAGAAGACTAATCTTAAAAATCATTTATATAGAGAAAGATATGAACTTTTTACTAATAACATGTCCTGTAGAAAAATGGCTGCACATATATAATGTTTAACTAGATATTTGAGATAACAAATGAACTCTAAACTGAACAAAAATTTTGTCATTTGATAGATGTGTGAATCTAGGTTTCAAAATAAAAAACCATTCTTAAAAAAAAGTTTGTATAGAGAAAGATATGTTATATTTACTAACAATATGTCCTGCAGAAAAATGGATGCACATATATAATGTATAACTA